GGGGGGGGGGGGTGACGTACTGCTCTGCTTTCCCTCGGGCTTTATTCCCCTCGTCAAGACGACCCTCCGGGGCCACCCCCAGCAGACCAGGATCACAGCTGCTCTGCCCGGAGTATCCCAGATGGGGACCTCCCAGCCACAGCAGTGACCTTGGTCAGCACCTGCTGTGCTCTGTCTCCTCCCTCCTGGCTCCCTAACGCCATTCACCGCTCTGGTAGCGCCCCCTGTGGACGGTTCCAGTGATGGCGGGAGGCCAGATCCCGGTTTCCCGGGGCAGCACCGCAGTGAAACCGCGCTCCGGGTACCTCGACATCGATGTTCGGTGAGCTTTCCCTGGGGTCGTAGTCATACAGGGCCACCACCCTCCGAGTCGCCCCCGGGTGCCGGCCGCCTCTTCGGCTTCTCTCTGTTTACACACAAGAAGAAAGCTGTCGTGTGGTTATTTCAAAAGGAGAGGTGCCCCCTCCCTTGCCCCAAGCAGCACAGCAGGCTGCACTCGGCCCCTGGGACCAGACCCGCACCCTCTCGCCCTGGGCTGCATGTTCTAGTATCTCTGCTCGGGCACAGCCCTCCCACCCCCAACCCCCAACATACAATACACACACACAGTGACAAGGACACTTTCCTTTCCCTGGCGTGTCCATCAGGCCAGGAGACCGGTGAAGCCGAGATTCTCCGGAATAATAAATCTAAACGATTTAGAACGTTACTCCTTAAGGAAGTTGGCGTTTGTGCATTTCTTCCAAACACAGCCACTCTGCGCCTAGAATTGGTTTCTGGAATTCGTACAAATGAAAACCATGGAAGGCAGGTATTTTGAAAGCACCTAAAGTTGGTTCTGTGCCCTGTCAGTGGTTTTCAGCTGGCACAGGGCCCGGCTGTGCAAAGGTCCAGAGATCACCCACACCTCGGCTCCTGCCCAAGAGGCACTGCTTAATTTAGAGAAAGCAGGGCACCGTTGTAGGGCCTGTGCACATGCTTCCTTGAAACAGAGAGGAGAGTTATTCCAGGGATCGATTAGAGCACTCCCGGGCTTGTTAGTTTTCCAGGGCAAGTTGCAAGTATGAATTCCTGCAGGTGGCAGTAACAATGAAATTCACCCTTTCCGGCATATGCTGGGTAAGCTTTGAGAAGCTCACACGGTCCTATAACCACAGCTGGCAGCAATCAAGGTGGACAGTTCTGTCACCCCCCAAAATCGCCGGGTGCTTCTCTGATGTCACCTCCAGCCCCAGGTAACCACCGGTCTGCTTTCTGTCCCGAGACTTTTACCTTTCCAGAACAGCATTTAAGTGGAATCATCCCAGATATAGTTTTTTTAGGAAGTGGTTTCTTTCATGGGGACAATGCACCTGAGACCCACTCGTGTGACCGCGTGTATCAGCAGTCCTACTCTCCCGCGCGAGGAGCAGCCCCCGTGTGGACGCATCACTTACCCGATCCGCCTACCAGGGGAAAGGCACCTGAGTGTCCCGCTATGGGTGGTGCCCAGGCAAGCCCCCTGTGAACACCCTGTGCAGGATTTGAGTGGGAAGTTCTATTCCTGAGGGGCGAGCACTCAGCGGGGGAGCGGGGGGACTGTGCCGGAAGTGTGTCTAGCCTCGGAAGGACCTGCACACTGACTGCAGAGATGCCCCACGCGGGTTCACCTCCGGCGGACGGTGTGCTGGCTCCACGTCCCTCCCACGCATGGTGCGCCCCCGTGGCTGTGCCCGTGGTGAGTCCTGGCTCCCTGCCATGCCTTTAATTTGCATTTCACTGATCACGTGAAGCATCTTTCCACATGCTTGTTTCCATGTGTCCTCCTTGGTGAAGGATCTCTTCAATCTTTTTTCTATTTATTTTGGGAGAAACCAGGACAGAGAGTGAGCAGAGGAGGGGCAGAGAGAGACGGTGGGGGGGGGAGACACAGAATCCGAAAGAGGCTCCAGGCTCCGAGCTGTCAGCTCAGAGCTCGACGCGGGGCTCAAACTCACAGACTGTGAGATCGTGACCTGAGCCGAAACCAAAAGTTGGACACTTAACCGACTGAGCCCCCCAGATCTCTTCAATTTTTTGTCCCCATTGTTATTGGTCATTTGCTTTCCCGTTGTTGAGTTTTGAAAGCTTGTTATGTGTCCTCTGAATTCAAGTCCCCCTTCAGCTGGGTCACGTGCAAATCTTTTCCCCCAGCCTGTGGCCTCTCTCTTCCTTCTCTTCACGGTGTCTTTCTCAGCCCAGAACGACTCGATTTCCATGAAGTCCAACATCAGAATTTTCCTCTTCCGTGGCATGGTTTTAGTGTCACATCAAAGACAGTGCTGCCTGACCACCACCAAGTTTTTCCATGTTTTCTTCTAGAACTTTCACGGTCTTAGTTTTTATATTTGAGACCGTGTTCAGTTTTAAATTAATTCTTCTGGTTTGGTGGGAGTATGGCCCGAGCTTCATTTCCCCACCGAATCCAGCACCTGTTATGGAAAAGACTGTCCTTTCCCATTGAACAGCCTCTTGACCGTGGATGAGAATCCGTGGACGGTGTTATGTGTTGGTCCGTTTTGTGGACTCTGTTCCGTTCCATTGATCTGTGTGCCTGTGTGTCCTCCGATTCCACCCTGTCTGGATTCGTCTCCCTGTATGGTCTTACAATCTCGTTAACGTCCACTCTTCTTTTAAATCTGCTTGGGCGACGGTAGTTCCTTTGCCTTTTCAGACACATTTTTGGCTTAGCGTATCGATTCCAAATAAATCCCTGCCCAGACGTTGACTGGGGTTGTGTTGCATCCACAGGACAGTCTGGGGATGCGGGAGGTCTTGCCGCCCCAAGTCTGGGAACACGGCGCCTCCGTGCACTTGGGGATCTTTAGCACACAGATCCCGCACCCATCTCGTTAGACTCACCCCTCCCCCTTTCGTGTCTCTGTTGTGTTACTGTAAATAGTATTACTTCTTAAATTTCCATTTCAAATTTTTCACCGCTAACATTTGGAAAGAAAACTGCTTTTGTATCCAGTGACCTTGCTAATAAACTCACTAGTTAATTCACGGGATCCTTTGAGATTTTCTAGATTTTCAGGTCACCTGTGAGTAGAAAACGTTGAACATCTTCTTTTCCGGTCCGTACACCGTTCCCTCCTGTCTCCCTGCGCGTGGTGCCCGAAAGGGACTGAGAGGCAGACAGCGTCGTCCAGCCCCAGCCGCGGGAGGGGCGTACTCAGTCCGTAGCAACTAGATACTTCCTAGTGCTAGAAACGCACGTGGTATCTCAGTCTGGTTCCTTCAAAAGTCATGTTTAGGAAAACAGAATAAAACAGACATTTAATCTAACCGATCACATGGATCGAGCTGGTTTCTGGCAGAGCGCTTGTTGGCTTTCCGGTCCGCGGCATACGGAGCCCGCTCCCCCTCTGAACCGGGCACGTGCCTCCGGGGACAGAGGCGGCGTGTTCTCAGACGGCTTCGGCCTCGTGGACTTGACCCGGGCAGCACATTCACAGGAGGCCTCGACTATCAGATGTGGGTTCTAACTTCAAATGGTGCGTTCGTTCCCACCAAAGAGACTGAAACGCGTTTGATGTGATTTTGTGACTGTCCTTAAAAATATGCGTATTCTTTGAGTCGTTCAGTTTTGCCTCTGAAATCTCATTTCGAGCTAAGTTCACCTTATGTTTTGAAGTATTCAAACCTTAAACACGAATGGCATCAAACGGATCTGTCTCCTATTTAGAAAAAGCAAAGGCGCTTCTAATGAGTAGATTTTTCCTGCACGTGGGCAAAATCACAGATCACACACATAGTGTTGCTTAGAGTCACTGAAAATAGTCTGCTGCGTGTTCACGGGTGCCCGCGGACCGGCTCGTGATAGGCGGGGCCATCGGGTCCACGTTACAGGTGCGAACCCTTGATGGCTTCTGGAGAAGCCAGGAAGAGCGTGGCAAGACCTCATCAGACTCCGGGACCTCACCGCCGACGGGCTGATGTTCGAGGCACGTCACCGACGTCTCAGTCCGTCCGCGCTGCCGGGACAAAACACGGTCACGTCTCACAGCTCTGGAGGCCGGACGTCCGAGACCGAGGCGCCGGCAGATTCGGGGTCTGGTGAGGACCGGCGTCCCGGTTCACAGATGGCATCTTCTCGCCCTGTCCTCACAGGGTGGACGAGGCAAGGGGCGTCTGCGGAGCGTCTTTCAGAGGGCAGGAATGCCCCTCCGACGGCTGCACGATCGTGACCTCGGCTCCCCCCAGACGCCATCGCCGTGGGGTTCACATCATAACTTAAAATTTTAGGGGGACACGACATCCAGTCAAAAACACCCTCAGAGCGGTAGTCTGTTTTGTAGACGGGACAGACTTTAAGTAAGGCTACGCTTCATCTTCCGTTAGAAAATCTTCTGTGTCTGCGGGGATATGTCGAGCACGTACGCCCGTAAAGCGTGTAGGACTGTTCCAACCTGGTTTGTAGAGTGGATTTTGCCCCAAAAACTGGATGGTTAACTTTCGGATTCTCTTGGGACGTTCATTTGATTTTTAATGTTTATTTTCAAGAGAAAGAGAGAGAGATGAGGGTGAGCAGGGGAGGGTGGGAGAGAGAGGGAGACACAGAATCCCAAGCAGGCTCCTGACTCCTAGCTGTCAGTGCAGAGCCCGACACGGGGCCTGAACTCACGAACTGTGAGATCGTGACCTGAGCCGAAGTCGGACCCTCAACCCACTGAGCCGCCCAGGCACCCCTCCCCCGCGATGTTTAAACGGCACAGACTGGACCCCGCCCACACGCCTTGGGCGCCCGAGAGCCCGTAGCCCGTGGCGTGGCTACGGACCGCCGGGCGGGGGGGCGGGGGTGAGGGGAGGAACAGCCCAACCAGCAGGTGCAGGGGAACAGGGGCCGGTCTCTTACCTATTTTGTCCACAGGCGTGTTCAGAGGAAGGAACCCTTGCCTCAGAAGTTGGTCCATCATATCCTCGTCGTCGGCTTGGATCTCCGAGACCATGTTGCAGGGAATAAGGCCGAGCCGGGCACAGGTCTCCCCCCGGTAAAAGCCATCGGCGTCTTTGTCCCCATACACCTGGAGCCGGTGTGAAAGGCCGAGGCGGCAGGACTGTGGGTTCACAAGCGCCTCAGCCCTGCCGGCACGTCGTCAGAACACGCTCGAACGAGCGAGACCGCGGTCACCCACGCACGCCCTGCAAAGCCGCGCTCCTGCCCTCAGCCCCCGAGTTTCTGCCCCAGGGTTTGGACGACATTGCTCTCCCCATCAGCTGGTGGCGGTGGGGCCACAAGTCGGGGCTCTGGCTCCACGCTGTGCGCAGCCTGCGTATCTGAACTCACACAGCGAAAGCCGCGTGCGATGACCCCACCCGCGGAGAGGACGTCTAGACCCCACGCGGCAGTGTCTCCGCCCGCAGCAAGTGGCTCCCTCCGCCAGACGGTGTGGCGTGTCAGGATTCCAGAACTTAGGAATCTCATCTAACCCAGAGCTGTTCATCACTCTCTGGGGTCACAGCACCACACTTTAAGGGCGTGTCTTACTGGACACGTATCATAACCACGTTCAAACGCAACTTGGCGTGCCCTCTGGGGAACCCGAAAACTTAGGGCTCAAGGGCTCCCTGTTTCCCTCTGCTACTGAGCACCAGGCTTTCTCTCCAGCTCCTACTTCAGACTCACGACGTCCCTCCTCTCTGCTGCTCAGCAGGCTGGATGTTTAATGCAACAGAAAAAAGCCAGCCATTGGGACGAACTAAGAAGCTAAGGTATGGTGAGACCGCTCCCCCCTTCCTCGGGTGCCCCCACCAGCCCTGCAGCCCCCAGCCGAGCCCCCACCTTGATGATCTGTCCCCCCAGGTGCCCCACCAGACCTGCAGCCCCCACCTTGATAATCT